GCTTCTCGCATCCACGAGAAATCACAATATTCTCATGTTGAAAGCAACTCCGTTCGAGCTTAAAGTAGCTGTGGAAACATTTAGTGGTTTACCGTGGCTACCAGTTTGGACCAGAACGTCGAGTACTCTTTCAGGATGGTTCCTCTGTAATCAGAAATACGATTGTTTGACTCAGTTATTAAAAATTAAATAGACATGAAATTATTTCTGAAATAATACGCTATTTGCTTGGTTAATCACAAAATTATGCCGCTACGTTTTGATTTTTAGAGTCTGTGAGATTTCGGCTCTCTCGCGTTTCTCGCGACGCGTTTATCTCGTACTCGTGCAGGTTTAGAAAAATTGGCACTCACGTGAACTCCACGTGGCCCTGACCCTTCGGAGGTGCAGTCCAGATAAAGGTGGCCTCTTCTTTCACGTGAGGATCGGCGTGTGTCACGGCACTGCACTCAGGGTGGGTGTTGGTCTGATCGGTCTTCTCCCAGGAACCGATCCAGCTGCCCGTCTCCTTGTCACGTGCCTGAATGAGGAAACCCTTGAACGGCGCACCGCTAATCGTCACTGGAAAAACAGTTGACGATTGAACGTGCAGAATCGCGGACCTACGATCCGTAGAATACGCGATTGTTAACCGTTTAGACGCGTTCCGCGTTGCTGCACGGTATTCGCATTGATTGGATCGATTGTTCCGTTCCGTTTCTGTTCTCCTTCCGCTCAATCATTCTTGCGCCATATCTTCCATCTTCATATAATCTCGCATTTTCCGTCCGGCAACAATTGTTTTTTTATTAAAGAGTCTTTACGCCAAGCTTTTACGATTTTTATAATATTATTTTAATAACAATCTCTCGGAGGACAGTTAAGATCAGGCAGGGGTAGTTCAGATGATTTCACTATTTCTTAAAATATATAAAAATTAAATAAAACGTACCAGTTATCTGGGAGTTCGGGCTGTATTCGGAGGACGATGCAGTAAACGTGTAAGGGCTCGTATTCGCGGGTTGCGATACCGCCGTGCCATGATGAGGTTCGCCATCCGACATCGCGCAAACATCCACCGGGGCCCCAGTGGGGTAACCGTGCGTCAGAAGCGTTAAAGAAGCCACGACCAATACTCCGAACCCTAAGTTCCTCATAGTGAACGCCATGATTCTTTCGCCGCGGTTAAACAGAGAACAGTTGAAAACGCGAATTTGAAATGATCGCCTCGAGTGATTCGAACGGTACTGCACCACTTGATCTCCGCGAAGTCAAACGTCGTGACCAGATCCCACCACGAATCTTGTAAAACTCACGCACGATTCACGTTTGCTTCTATTTATATGTATCTCCAAGACGTACTTTTAAGTATCAGTCGGCTCGTTATCGTCTCCTCTGTGTTTTTCCCGTATTCGACTTTCCTCTGTACTTGAAAAATGCAATAATCTGTCTAATGTTTTATTAACTTATCAAGAATGTTTAATATTCTCGAGGAGGACGATCATAATATCTTTTAAACCATTTCCGAAAGCAATCTGCATAAAATTCCGTTGAACAAATGAATTGGGGCAAAATATTTAAGAGTAAAGACTGTCGCATTATTGAACTCATTTCGCACGCTATTATACACTAACAGTGTCACCGGTGACCAACTCTTGTATCGATTAAAAGAAATAAAACACAGGGGGGAGTGGGTTTGTGCAGCGAGGGAGCCGATAACTGCATCGCATGTATGTAATTTTTGTACCCCGCCGAATTAACCCACGGGAAAGCATATCACGCATCCCTGCTTATCGTCTTGTACTATGTATCACACGTACACAGACCGTTCCATACATAGTACTATGGTGTGTTTCCCTCGGTCAATGTTACTTTTCACAGTGCTATTGATTTTCTGGAAGCTTTCAGACCGACGCGATATAAAGCATGAAAATGTTCGCTGCTAGGAACTTGGTTGGACGACGTGAAATATATAAATACAGTTCACAGCGAAACGTTTATTTGTCAGTCATTAGTTACAAAAAATGTTTGTAAAAATGTACAATGAAATGCATCGTCTTTTTTTCGTATAATCACTCAATGATTAAATTACGGTTCAAGTTAAACTATCACTTGAATTCACAAGCAGATACAATTATATTAAATTATTTACACGTAATTCGTAAACTTAGTGATCGCGACTAGTCGACATACAAAAATACAAAGAAGCTTCATAGTTTGTCATAAATAGTTTTATACAAAAATGGAGAGAGACAGGGTAGAATCTTGTTCTATGGAAACGAATTAAAATACGAATAGAGAGGATTTGTTGCATATTAGACCATCGAAACCTACAATCATTCGTCACGAGTATTCGTATACATAACGCTAGCACAAAAATATTTCCGTCCTCTATAAATATTCTACACGAATGGAGGAATGTTTCAATCTGACTTCGTCGAAGGGGAAGAATACGTTTCGTTCTCGATCACTTCGATCGCACAGGTCCTGGGGAACCAGCCGCGAGCTCGTACTTGTTTTCCATTCTCGTTGTCTTCTTTCTTCTCTCCGAACAGCCAGTATCTGTAAAAACCATTATTTTTATATAATCGCACAAACGATTATATTGTTTAATGCAGACTTACTTTCTCCATCGCGTTATTGTTACGATATCTCCGACCTTCAGTTTGATACGAGGTTCGTCGGTACACGGCGAGTGCCGAAGCACCCCACAGCCATGCGTTATCGGTAAACGCGCGCCAGATGCTTCTTTTATAATTCTGTATGTCTTGGCTCTCTTTCGTTTGTCTTTCTTCTGAGCCAGTTGTTCCCGCTAAAATTTTAATGACAGATCGCGTTTTAAACGTTTGGCAAATTGTTTTCTTAACTTGAGGGATTTACCGTTAAAGTGTATTGATCACAGCCCTCGATTACAGGCCAGTGAATCCCGTCACCCACTGGTGTACAATCCCATGTAAGAACCTGTTGAACGTTAAATCGCCATCCTTTCGAATACGGATATATAAATTTGTCCTCGGTTCCGGATCTTCGGTACTCAGCCTTCTCCGAAATCCAAGCTTCGATTTCAGTCCTGTTTTTGACGATGGACAATAACTGGAAAAAATCGCGACTAGTTTAAACATACATAATATTTATTGTAACATTAAAATACTGAAGGCATACTTGAAAGTAGAGTAACGTTCCGACAGCAAGAATAACACCGATCGACAAACCGATGCTGAAGATCACTAATATGAGAATGAATACAGAAGGTGGCGGAAATGAGACTGGTCTTAAAGATAATACAGTCATCACCCAAGATACTAGTGTAAAGGTAGAGACGCAGCATCCAGCGACTGCGCTCGCTAGGAATGCTACGAAATGACAGTGATTGTAATGGCCCACGCAATTGTTTATCCACGGACAATGGTGGTCCATTTTCATCACGCAACGACGGCCTTAAAAAAGAAGACGGTTCAGTAAACAATACCAGAAGTGAACTGCGTTCTACCGTATATGTAAATCCTCACACTTTCTACAGTGATGGGACCGTGGTGCCTTGTACCCTTCGCAAACAGAGCAATATTGCAAGTATTGACTGTCGGTAGCTTTTTCCTAAAGGACAAAACGTTTGAACACGATTATTATATTTGTTATTGGTCGAAGCGATTTCTTTGGGAATGTGTTATATTACTGGTATCCATTTCAATGGAAGATATCCAGGTCCTTCGTAAATCGCGCTAATGAAATGAAAGAGCGTAGACCCACTGAGGCAGAAGAAGATGATAAAATTTACTGCTCCAGAAAAGCTCTCCTGAGGTGGCCACCATTGCCTGCTACAATGTATTGTCATCAGAGTAATTACTTTTATTATAGCTGAAACAGAGGAAAGGCGTACAAAGTTTCTAAGTAGGCGTCCGATCATGACTCGTGAGAATTAGAATAAAACCTCTTGTCTATCAAGTTCCTACGGCAATTTCTAAGTTAAATATCTCGTGAAAACGATAACGTATCATCATGATGCACTAGCATTTTGAAGAATACGTCACCGTTTTTATTCCCATCAAGTACTATTGTATTCTTTTATTCGGATCACTGAAACTCATCACCTACCGAGAGCAGTGAACGGACCCCAGTGGCATATTTTCTTCAGCGGATCGACGCACATGCTAAACACCTAAAATATTTTTTTAATAAAGGACCGAGTATCTGATACACCTGTTGCGAACGAACAATTTATGAAATTTGCCGAAACGTGTTTCCCTCGGCAACGCATCCCGTGACGATTCATGTACGTGGGCACGGCGTATCATCGATGTCAATCATTCCGATAAAATTGTCGATTCCGTACATCCTGCGTCTGTCAGCACCGATACGTCTTGTAGCTTTTCACATAGAACAGGCGATCAGTGATTCTGTTTATCCTACTCTCTCTCATCTGCCTTTCAACGATGGTGCAAGCATTTTCAATTTTCCACACAACAGATTCTGTGGCGCTGAATCACGATTAAGTAGCTGACAGGTTAGCAGTTGTTATTGTTATTGTTGTTATCGCGAGTCTGATTCATTTCAATCGTTTCTTATCGCACTATGTACTTAATACTTAGATATTTGTCGTTTCTGTAAAATATGAAGAAGGCTACTAAGGACGTACGTATCGAAGCTGCAATGAGTATGAATATGTGTATGTACATTGTCCCAGAATGAGACTTATCAAAGAAACTCTTCGTGTGTTTAATTCCGAATGATATTTCCAGTCAAAGCTCTCTGAACCGCCTGTTCCGCGAGCACGTCCGCCTTTAAGAAGGCACAAACCCGAAGAGACTGATTCTCATACGTTACAAGATCCTAAAGAATTATTGAGGATGAATACATGTAACCCTAGGTGGGAACAAAAGAATTTTCATAACTTTAACAATTCTAATTTACGACACAGAGATAGTGATATAGATACAGATAGTGATACAGATATACATAGTGATACAGATACAGATGATGAATATGATGATGAATATTATGATGAAGACTATAGAGATATTGATGATACTGATGATGCCAGTTTGAATCACAGATTGAATACGTCATGTATACTGCCATCAGAGTCATTTAAAACTGCACAGAGCTCTCCCATCGATAAGCCTAGAAAAAGAAAAAAGAATTTGAACGATAACAGTCTCCCTGTCTGGCATAAAGTACAAAATAAAAACCAAAAGCGATCCACTGAAAGTTTCACGGAACTGTTATGTGCAATCGTCTGCATCATAGTTGTTTTTTTTTTCTTATACATTGCAGTTTATCGTAAAAATAAAATGGATGAGAAAGTGACTGTTGATGAAAATAAATTGAGAGAGATATATTTAAACCAGGCAAGTAATAAATTGGATAAATCGGTAGATGTAATTCGGAAGAGATTTCAAAATCAAAAGGCTACTATTTGGAACGATATATCTGCTGGCATATATGATGTAGCTTTGTTTCCTACGAGACCATCGATTATAATATTGTTTGGTAACGAAACTGAGACTTTAAATTGCTTGGCCGAATTGCTAGCTGAAGTAAGTGGTGACATTTTAGGCAGCAATGATCATTTAACATTAATGTCAGACGATTTTCCAAATGATGTTGGCCAAGTAATCGATATTTTGAAAGAAAGAATCGTACAAAAAAAATCAGTAGTGAGTGTTTCTGTAGTACAATTAAGAATTGCTTAAAAGAGGATAGTTAGGGGAAACTCCTTTTTTCTTTTTAGGTAATACAAGATTTGCTCAGCATAAATACAGAGGCACTAAAAGCATTTCATAATTTTTGTGACAGAGAGAAGCCTTTAGTAGGTCACGCTGTATATATAATAACAATAATCGTGGATGGGTACAAACCGTCTTTTGGGGAATTGCGATTTGTCGAACAACAAATATATAAAAGATTAAAAGCACAGATAGATAAAGATAATATAAGTCCATTAATAACTAGACTTACGGATGGAGTTGTGGCACCGATTTTGCCAGAACCGAACACAAAATTCGATAATTCATATTGCTCACTCGCTGTAAATAAATTGTAAGATTCTAATAAAGTCACTAGCCGGAATGTAATAAAAATGTGACAGTAAATATAATGGATATATTGATGAGATTTCACTTATAAATATAATTTGAGTAAATAAAGTATTTCCATATTTATATTCAACTTTATTTTGTTACGTCAAATGACAGTACAGCAAATCAACATCTTTCGGATAAAGACTTTTCAATAGTAATTTGGCGATTTCTACAAATCTTCAAAAAATATAACAACGAGACTGGTGCCTCCGACATGATTTCAGTTATGCTCTCGACATGTTAATTACAGCGTCAAAGTAAAGGTACAATGAACAGGTTCCTTCCCGTATGTCGTAATCGTGTCTTGTATTCCTAATAGTGTAACATGTCCGTCCACGTCCATGTATTGTTTAATAGTCTCTTAAATTGCCAATTTACCATGCATTCTCCCTTCTATACATTGTACGCAACATTTTAATCCTATTTTTTTAATTTTTACATCGGAAATAATAAATCACGTATTTTTACGCGAATTTGTTTAAAAAGATTCAAAGTACTCCGCTAATAAAATTTAACTATACTTTGGAAATAAATTATATCGTGTAAAAACGGAATATTCTACATATGTGTTTAAGGAAAATCGAATAAGAAAAGTATACGTAAAAGCAAGTATTCACGTATAATAATTTCTTTAATAACGAAATTTCCGTACATGTGTTTCTCATTAATATTTAGTGAAAATAAGTAGTTAAAGCATGTAGATCGTAAAATGGCAAAATCCTTTCTTCAGTATGCTTATTTCTAGCTAGTAAGCATTTTATAAATTGGCAACAAGTATTTGTAAGTACACATCTTGCTAAAATATCGTATTCAGCAAAATGTTCGCTTACGTGTTTCTTATAATACAGTCCTCCTCTGTCGTAATAATTCGAGTCCGTAACTAAAAGTAGATATTATATATATATGTATATGTATATATCTTGCATAATATATGATACCGTCAAACCTAAATAATAAATACATTTTATACAGTCACAGACCTTTTATACAGAATGTCCAACATTTTAACGTGCTGTACAATCGCGAATACGGTTGATATATCACGATGTGCGTGGTAAAATTTACTCTCAATAATCAAAGTGTACAAACTTATCTTCAAAATATTTATTATGTGTAACCATTTCAATTTTTTATATATCTTGAAAAAAGAATATGTTTTAAAGAAATCTAAATAATAATTTTCGTCGTAATTATATACATAGATAGACTCTGCAAATTTCGCAATCCGATCTGGTTGTGGTAAATGTTTTGCCAATATATCTCAATATATTAGATAAAACATTATGAACATACATAATACGTGGGTACATTGAAAATAAGAAAACGAATTAATATTAATCTGATATTGTTTGCTTCATTGTTTAAGGGCACTCTGTATAGAATAGCCTTAAAATTACAAGATACGTATTTACAGTAAAAAAGTTTAATTGGTCATGTTCCTACCTAATGTAGTAAGGATGTGAGTAACGCGTTGCGTAATGTTGTCCGTGTTAGCTACGTAGTCGCGTACTTCAGTCGTTAGTGTCTTGCCGGTTGCGCAAGTCGTTTTTACTTTTTCGTTTCTCGTAAATTCTGAGTCAGTCGTACGTCGTTTGAGGTGCAGGTGCTGTACCTCGTCCGTAGTAAATCGTCCTGATCACTGTGTTTCCGTGCATATCCGTTTTGTTTTCTCTACTTAAGCGCTAAGAAGTTTCAATTTGTTAATCCCGATAAACTAAATGTCTCATGCTAAATACCGTTTCATTTGTCGTTACGCGCTCGAATACGAATCGAGTACGTATCCGCATTATCTGGAAACGAACTGTAATTAAACAATCGTATCTCTGTAAAACTTAGATCAATGCGTTATAAAGTAGCTGAAATAATAAGAGAGGACCACTTAAAATAACTGCGAACAAACATTTTACTCATGCTTTATCGTCGAGCAAAAAACTGATCACTTCGAGATTTTTGTTGTTGCTGATGTCCCTGTTTGGTATAAACGAATTCGAAAACTATATATATATATATATATATATATATATATTCCACTGTTTTGCATTTGATCGATTTTTTTCTTTCTTTTCGGAGATTGTCCCTTTTACAAAAAAAGGATTTAAACGCAACACGAACGAAACATGATTGAACCAGGTGATACATTCAGAGGTTCGATAAAAACTAATCGATTAAAAATCGAAGCCTTGAACCGGTAGCTGGGATGAATCGGGCGCTCTAAATTGAAATTGTTGTCCCTGCGCGTCGATGCTGGGCACGACTCGCGTGTCTTCTTCCTCAGAGCCGAAATACCGTTCGATTATGTCGAAAGCCTTCTGATAGATTTCTGTGTTTTGATGAGATTGCAAAAATTCTATTTTGTTTAGGCCTGAAACACAAAGTGACATCGTTTTTGCTAAAACTGTCCGACAGTAATTCTACACATGAGAAGTGTATCGTGTTCAAACTTACCGTAACATTCTTCGATTAATACCGCATAATAATTGATACCAGTGTGCGTGGCAGCATCTCGTTCTCCTACACGCAAAATATTCTCTAAACCGCTCAACGCGACCTGAATGATCTTAGGATCCATTACTGTTAACAAACTGCATAAAGGTGGAATGCACCCTTCGACGACGATATAACGTATTTGCTCGGGCGTGCCGCCACTAGTAGCGTTAGTGATCGCCCATGCTGCTTCCTTCCGGATCTTAAATTCAGCTTTCGCCAAAATATCGATCAGGATCGGGAATATCCCGGCATCGATGACAGCCTGCTCAAAAGAACTCCGTGTTTTTAAAACACATTTTATCGAGGGGCTGCACTCTTTAGAATCATGTACGAACTTGAATCTGCTGAGAATTTCCTGCCGTAATGTTCGAGATCGTCCAGGAAGCCTCCTTGCGGATAGTTTCGTGCGCTGAATTTAACAGACGGAACAAACAGTTTAACGCGTTACAATTAAGAACGACCTGTGTTTGTACATCGTCGCCTGTAACTATATTGCCCACTGCTCGGAGCGCGGCACTGACCACGGTTTCCTGCTGATGTCTAAGACAAAGAATTTTCAGTTAAGCAATAATGATGACCAAGTACACTCATTGTGTACTTACACGAGCAACTCGACAAGACGTCTGCATACACCAGCGTCGATAACCACCTGGATCTTCTCGTTGGGGCCGTCGCTTAGATAAGAGAGTGCCCAGCATGCATCGGCGAGCACGTCGCCGTCGGTGTGATTAAGAAAATGAGCTAAAATTGGCAAACACGGTGCCACTTTCGCGAAATCAGGTGCCGGTGTCTTGCCTCGACAGAGATTCGATAATGCCCATACCGCGTTGCGCGTCATTGACAAACGCGTAGCCTTAGAAAGTAATCTGAAATCAAATAGAACAATAATTAATTTTATGATCGGACTCATCGAACGTCCGAAGAAATTGGAGACTTACTGCAAGAGAGGAGTGAGAATGCCACTGTCCAACACGTGGTCTCTGCACTCAGGACTGTCTCCCGCGATATTGCCCAATGCCCAAACAGCCTGTTCCTGGACGTCTTCGTATTCGGAGCTGAGTAACTGTATAAAAATGGGTACAGCCCCGGCCTCGATAACGACGCGCGTTTGCTCAGACGTCCCACTCGCTATATTCGTCAAAGCCCAAGCAGCTTCAAACTAAAACCGTTGTAAAATTTACTCCAATAACGTATTCTTTTCACTACTTAGTTCACAGTTCGTAGTTAATTGGCGGTTTATTAACCTGCAGAGTGCAGTTATTGTTGTTCTGCAAGAATTCGACGAATTTCGGCACGATCCCTGTCTTCACAACCTCGTTTATCGGTGGATTCGGTTCCCTAGACAACATTTTTCTGAACTTCTGAGTGGCTGCCAGTTGATTCTCTGGATTAGGACTATACAATTCTTGTACCATTTCAAGTACAATGGCAGAAGTTTTCTATGGAACATGTTTTCATGTAAAAACACAGCCAGTCTATTTTCGAAGGATATTACTGATGAATCTAGAAATACCGATTGTGGTGCTGGGAAAGCAGATTCGTTTGTCGGAACACTGTCATCGTCTGTAACTGTATTAGGAACATTGCGCCTTTTCGATAACTGCTGTTCTCTTTTCTGCTTTCTTAACTGAACACCTTCCTCTTCTCTGCGTCTTCTGAGCTCCTGCGAGTCCAGGCCCACATTTTTGTAACGATATTTGTGTGTAGTTGCGGCTGACATCTGAGCAATCAGGAAAAAATCACATGAACATAGAAAAATTTATTACATAACACTGAAGTTACAGAAAATGTGTAATTTATTAGAAGAAAATAATTAATACAGAGAATCATGTTTCTAATCTTGTATGATCTGAGGATCAAGTTATAACTAGTTTATTATTAAAATTTCCATTTTACAAACACTACCACAAAATTGAAATAATATATATATATGTACACTCGTATGTATTGCATGTCACTAAATTTTTCAGGCTGAGAATAATACTGCATTTTCAATCTAATTGTTATTTTTCACGATATTTTATTATGAAGAAATTTACTACTATGACATATGTCGGTATTAAACGTGTACATGGAAGGGAGATGAAACTATTGCCGCACGAAGGATAAAAATAACAATTATGGCATTATTGCAATGATAGGAATCCATCATAGCCTGGCTAGAATGTGTTTATATATGAACAAGGCGAGTGGGAATAAAAACGCGCAAACATCGATTGACTGGCATCAAAACGTCGAAGTGGGATCCGGGGAAAATATTCTTCGAAGTTGATTGACAATGGAATGTTTAGGGTTAGGTATAAAATTCAAGGATCTCGGAAATATGGGGTGTAGCCACAAAGGAGCTCGTCTCCGAGCGAAACGGGTGAAAAATGCAAGGTCGCAAGACTCTACGCGGATGTTCGCGAGCGAGTCCTATCTGCCAGGATAGATCATGCTAGATTAGACATTTTGGTATCGACGGGGAAGAGAAGCAGAAAGACTCACGTTCGCCTGGAACCGTCTCGACCTCTCGCGTACGTCGCAATAGTACGGCTCTGTAACGGGACCCCGCGGCTCTCAGACGGAACGCGGCGATGAGAAAGCTCGGTATTTACTTACGGCTGCGAAAGAAATTCAGGAGCCAACCGTTAAATGTAAGATCTCATAAAGAATATCGAGTGAAGCGCACGGAACACACTTTTCCACCTCCTCAAACTGTGACGACCGATCAGAAAACCTTGATCTGAACTCGGAACGCGCAAGGAATCACGGGCCGCGTTCGCGAAACGCTGATAGGTTCGTTCGAGACCGTCGTATTTATCAACTCTTCGGTCGTCACCAGCCTCGAGTAATTTTGAACGTTCAGTTCTGCGAAATATCGAGATTTCCTCCAAAATATAAAATAGAACGAGACGAAGTTAAAATTCGCAAAACTTTCTCGGTCGGCTGTTCCCAAAATGCGTTCGGAAAACATCCGCTTCGTTCGTACTTGATTGGTCGAACTGCAGTCGGTGAAAGGTTACAAAAGCGGCGAACTCTCGTTGCATTTCCGAACGCATATGCGGAACTACTATGTGAAACAACATAGCAATCGGAAATCCGGTTTGTGTTGAATTTAAAAACTGGCGCCGAACATCAGACGCGAGAATACCAAACAGAAAATGATAACACGTGTGGTAGATTTTACATTGTACCTGATAACATTTAAGAAACTATTAATATCAACATTAGTATATAATTTAATGTTAAAAAGAGTTCTATTTTATTGTTTTCTATTCTTTGATACTCTATAAACTTATTACTATAATAAAAAAATATAATTTAATATCGTAACGTTAATACTAATTGTTTATCGATCTAAACTTTGACTTTCTTAATTAAAATATACAATTTTTGTAAGATTTCTTTATTATAAGTTTAACTTTTTTTCTCTGATTCAAATGTAAATCAGAATGCATATCACGAATTGTAGAGGCGAATCTATGATGAACTTGGCGAAAGTATCCATCAGGAACGGGGAGTAAGGCGAGAGAGAAAGGCCGAGGAAGGGGTGGAACAGTTCGAAGGACGCGCGTAGGGTCGAGGTGCTATCGGGCGTGAATAATGCGCGGCGCCGCCGTGCGCTTCTTAGTTCGATTCCGGCTCGGCTGGATGGATTGATAAAGATTAAAGGTAAAGGGAGGTGGCAGGGTCCAGGGGTGTTTTCGAGTTAGGCGACAGAAGTCAGCCAGCGAAACGAATCGGCCGCACGTATGGAGGGGGATGATGTCACATAGGGGCTACCCCCTATCGTAAATACATACAGATGCAAGCCGGACTGATGCATCAAGGCTTGGGGCACATTGACGTAGGTAGACTGAGATTTTTCGCGAAATGGTATTACATTTAAAGGCATAAAACAATCGTTCTCCTATTTCCATTCATTAAATCTTCAGTCCCTGTTTTGTACAGAAAACAAGGACTTAAGCAAAGTATAAATTCTTTTACCTAGAGTTTGTATTATTGGTCAGAATACATGCAAACTCTATACTAACATAATAGAAAAAGCTGTCATCGACGAGAGCCACATAAAAATGAAACAATCGTTTTCCTGTTCCTATTCATTAAATTTTCTTATTCAATATCAATACGTAAGTAGAAATTCTTTTAACTAAGGATTGTATTTATTGTTCGAATTACGTGTAAACTCTGTAGCAGTATAATAGAAAACTGCGTCATCCACGAGAGCCGCGTTTAACTCGTACAGAGCGCCCGCATGATCGGTACCGGTAGCGATGAAATTAATTTGATTTAACGTCACCGCGTGTAAAGAAGCCCGTGTGACCGAATAAACTGGCGAACCTGGAGGAGGGAATGGTTCCTTAACGATCGCGTTATGATCACGTGGAGACAGGAACGCAGCGTCGCGTCGCGTCGGTGACCAAGGGTCGTGTTATCACGCGGGTGGAACAAAGGAAATCGTTACGCGGACGACGGGGATTCTCGGTCGCGAGGAAAGCTCCGCGACGGAACGGCCATTTAAGATGAAATACAATTTCTTCCCGTCGCGATGTTCCAGCGACCGCCCACAAAACGGCGCTCGTAAAATAATATTTTGTTGACGTAGGAGAATAGACGATTATAAGACTTGTGAGAGTCTGTGAACGAGACAAGAGAAATCGATGCTAAGACGTTGGTTCAATTTGCATGAAACGTGGCATCCAATCTGCTAAGATGAAAAGTAGAGATCTCGGGACGTGTCTACGCCACTGGGAACGACTCGGCACGGATGACTCACGCAGCTTCCTTTGCACGGTCCCGTATGGCAGTCATGCACAATGGAGAATAGTAAACGCAGTAAAGGTAACTCGCAGAGAAAGAGGGCCGGTGGTGTAGGGCCAGCTTCCCCCTGCGAGCGAGTACCCGCGGGTCACGTGCCACGATTTTCACCCCCGTGCCGAAACGATTGCCAGTACGAGCTGATCCGGATCGACTATTTCGAGGCGATTTCGCACGCCAGAAAATGGATCACCTCGAATAAAACTATAACCGCGTTACCAACCCTTTCGCAGTCGAACACGAAGGAGGCAAACGCAATGGTCACATATTTCAACTATCGAATTACAGACATTTAATTCGATAGAATAATGCGTCGATTAAAAATGTAAAAAATCGCGAATGTAAATAACTCGATTCGTTGGATGAAACGAATAGCGCGAATAGCGGCGCGTGTTCACATCAGTAATTAACCGTTGTAGCGTCTCGGGGGGGAGGATCTTCAATTAAACAATTACGGTTAAATCGAGCGGAATTTCCAGCGTTGAGCCCGCATGCTCGTTAAAGAACCGTACGCGTTATCCACCTAAGTACGGTTAAAAGGTGCCCTCACAAGAAACGAGCGCGTGTGTTGTTAACCTTTGATCAGGTACCACCACGTGGACCCACATATCTCTATCCAGAGAATTGTGAGTCACGACAAGAGGCCGAATTTAGATCCGTGATAAAGTCAATTCCCGCTCGACGAAGACCGTCGCCGCGCCGGTTAATTCCGCTTCTACGGCCATTCTCCAAGCTTTTAACGTGAATTGACGCGTTCAATCAACGACAGGCTCCTCTGCGTACCTCCAACGGGTCCCTTCTTAGAGAAGCGTAACCGCGATAAACAGGCTGAATTATATTCTGGAAGCAATTTCATCCAAAAAAAAAAAAAACCGTTCTGCCTTGCATTCTGTAATTTACATACGTTAGATCAAATTCTGATTGATACTCTGAGGATTAAATATTAACGTGGGCGTTAAATAAACGAAATGCTAGGAAAATTGTTTTATTCCATGTTGTCGCTAATTGTAGGATGCCTTATAATAGTCCTAGGATCCCCTGCGTCAGCATGGCCTCTCGAACCATTTTTTATGACACTTAAGGCCCAGGTCTGTTTACCATTAAGAAGACTTGCACCGATGGGACTCAATCGTTCCCCTTAAAATTTTGTACCTTCTACTTTTCGTGCACATACAATCACAAAAAGATTCGCACACTGATACAATTATCAATTCTAAACTCTATATTTTATTTATTTTTATGTGCCCACCTGTCCTAGTGGCTCCTTTCTTAGTTGGCTTCATTGATATTTGTGCTTTAACTTTTATTCTTGCACAATTATACGCCATGTGCTCCAGCGTTTCTGCTTCCTCTTGATATATACGACACATGAACCAGTATTATAGTTTCGTGTGTATAATTAGTACAATGTCCGAAATCTTTTGTGACATTAAAATTCGCTGTTGTGCAATTTTGAATTTTTAGGCAACGATAAGTAATAAATTTTTAATTGTTTTTCTGCAATTATCTATCCAACATAATGTAATATATTGTTGTTATTTCTTGTGTACCGCATTCGCGATAGCCGCTTTCCTGATGTCATTTGTTTATGAAAGACTATACACTCTCAGGTGCATGGTTGGGTATTTCCTTTTATACTTACGTGAACCTCACCTACGCGTATAATTTCAACTGGCAGTGCCGATAGCGTTATCGCTTTTTACTTAATTTACTATGTCGGCCACAACATCCTTTCATCTGTTCTCTCATTTCAAATGGTCAACTCGATCTTACGCTTCGTTATTATCGCGTCACGAGTATAAAGACTCTTCCAGATCTCGTCTGCTTCACCTCCTAATTTATTCACCAGCGAATAAATTTTTATTTCGTGAATAATTAAATATATTTTTGGAATTCTTAACAAATTTTATCAAATAACTGAGTGGAGGGAGGCTCGACGTGCAGAACTCTGGGCTTGAGATACCGTTTCGATACCGAAAAGGATTACCAAAGCCGGACCTATCGCAGGTAAGAGCTGCTGGCAGGTACTTATAATTTTTTAAACAAAAATCGCCACACATCTGGCGACCAAATGCGGAAAACCTAGAAGGTCCAAAGTGCTTGAGGACTAGTACCGTCATAAATCGCCCAAGGAGTACAATAGTCCTTTTTTTGACATATGGTTGTCCGCCTCTTTTAAATATGACGGTCGTTTACAATCCAACGATAATTTCTGCATATTCGATTTTCTTATAAAGCCATTAAATCTGCATTTTAATAAGGAAAGAACAAACGAAAGTATCGTGATTTCTTTCTATGAAATTCATTTCTCGAAGAATGTTAGAACAGCTCGTTAAAATTCGATAAATCAAGCTGGTAACTTTTCCCCGGCAAGGAGTTTTCGCGAAAGCATTAATAATGGTAGGACGTATAGGAATTTTGAGGAAATTTCGTGCACTCGTTTCGGATAGAAAATATCAAAAGGTACAACCCCTCGAACGCACTTAAGTTTCTCGACAGATATTGATTTTTGCGAGGTCAAACAGGAGCCAATGGTGAGTCCGAATCCACCGCGAGCGAAACTTACACGAATTCATTGTCGTGCGTATTTATCGTCACGCGCCAAAATCCATAATTCCGGGAATATTCGGGAGTGGTGGAACAATCGGATTCAATTTGTTTTCGGTGTTCGTTAGCGAAATTGAAATATATTTCTTGGCTCTCGTATTTGAAAGAATTGTTGCAAATAAGAAAGGTAATAAAATAATAGTGAACAGTACTACATTTTTTTTATTCTGATAGACTCTCGCTTCTGTCTCCTTCAAATTCGTAAAGCAAATGTAAAAGTGTAATCGAATTTAAATAAAATAATGTCCTACTTTCTGTCTGTGTCCCAATTCTACTCACTGGCGTATTTTTCTTTAATATTAAGATTAATAGAAGTCAATTTATATATCATAAATTCTTTGATCCTTAGAATTTTTGATAAGTCATAAATCCAGAATAAAATAAAAACCCTGGAAGCTTTAATATTTCAAAAAATAAGCCAGTGAATAGAAATTGGGACATTGACAATTGCGTAATTGAGCGTACCTGAATGCGCAGGTAGGAAAGGAGTAATCTCATTGTCAGTGAAGGATGTGGAAAAATCGGATTCAACTAGTTCTC